CGGGGCCCCGCCCCCTGACGGCCTGCCGCCCAGGCGGCTGCCCGGCACCCCCCCGAGACGGCGAAGCCACAGGCGCCGGCTCCGGGCCCCATTCAGACCCGGAGACTTCCGGCCCGCGAGGAGAGTGCGCACGGCGCTTCCGCCTCGCACTTTCGCCAGGCCCGCTGACCCGCGCCTCCTGGGCATAGCCACGCTCGCGGCCGCAGGGTAATTTTGCTCTTTAGCCCGGATGACGGGGAGAGCGACGTGCAGAGCGCGGACGAGCGCCGGAAGCGACGGCTGCAGCACGCGTTTCTGTCGAAAGTGCAGGCTGCGGGCGGGGGGAGGGGCCGAGCCGGAAGTGGGTGGGGCGACGTCCGGGTGTCTGTGCGCGGAGGAGGCGGTGACTTGTCTGGGTCCGCCGCGGCCGTTCTACAGAAAGCGGAGCGTGGTTGGCGGTGTCGACTCGGGCGTGGGAGCCTCGCTGTTTTTCTCCTCACATCATTGTGGTCCCCGCTCGCCCTCCTCCCAGGTGTGCTGGGGTCGCCTCCGGCCGGCCTGGGCCTACGCCGAGCCGCGCCTTTGTGGTAGTCCGTGAGGAACAAAGTGCAGTCAGTCCTAGTGAGCGCCGACTCGGCCGCAGACGCCGCACCCAGTGTGTTTTCCAGGCCTCAGGGTTTCTCTGAAGTAGGGCCCTTTATCAGTTGCTGTCATTGTGACCACCAGAAAGATTAAGCTACCTGAGCCTCTTCACACAGGTGTTCATCAATATTCAACCACTGTGCTAGGGTGGTTTTCAAGCGTAAAGTAATATTGTCAATCATTTTTACATAGATCTACTCGTAATTTTTAGAACATTGTCATCTAATAATTTTTTGTAGTTATGTAGTAACTTTCCATTTCTTCTTTCTCCCTTTCCCTTGGCAGGTGCTGTTCAATTTTTTTTTTTATTTCTGTGAATTTAAGTATTTATATACTTAATTCAAGTGGATATGTATGCTGTTCTACTTTGATGATTGGTTTATTTTGCCTATCATTGTTTTTAAGGTTTTTCTGTAGGGCCTGTGTGCTTGCCAGAGACAGACAGTGAAAGGGAAGGTAAGAAATTGCCTTCCAGAGGTGATGGCCACGCTGCAATCCCTTCTTCATTCTCCTGGGATTTGGGATATGCCCACACATACCCATAATGATTTTTCAAGTTGCTAGGGAGGAACCAAACCTTTATTAGCCTTGTGGGATTCAGCATCTTAACCACCATGCCATATGCTGGCCCAATAAAATTTATTTTTTAGAATTCTCTTAGTTTTTTTTGTTTTTTTTTAGAGTTCTTTTAGGTTTAAGGAAATATCGAGACCAGTGTTTTCACATTATTACTACCCCACTTCCATACATACTTAGTTTAATTTATCTTTTTTTGTCAGAACATATCACATGTGCCCTCATCATAGAGAGAAAGAGAGTGAAAGAGAAACACCCCACAATGCAGCATGATCACACTGCAATCCTTTTACTCCATTTCTCTATCCTGTCAGGATTTGGGGCACTCTAACACAAACACCTCTTAATATTTTTCAGCAGAGGAGACATAGCACTTAATCTCTCTACTACAGGGCCAGCCCTAGTTTCCCCATTATTAACATTTTAGATTAATGTACATTTGTTAAAATCAATAAATTGATATTGATACATTATATTAACTAAAGTCCACAATTTAGGTATTAGGGGAAAAAAGTGAGAGTTTCATCCTCAGTTTACATCTGACCCAAGAAAAACCAGTATTGGTAGACTCTGTCTGGCCATAATGATTGGTTCAAGGATAAACCTATAACTCAAACTGGACCAATCAGTATTAGAATTTTTATACTGAGTTTGAGAAAGGAAGTCTATTTCTCCTCTATTGAGAGGTTATAATGATATGAGCTGTGAACTCCCTGTAGCCATAAGAAAGCTGGTTTAAGACTGACACGCGGGGGAACCAGCAGTTAGCGTAATGGCTATGTCGCTGGACTCCCACGAACCCGGTGGCTTAAAACTCCCAAGAGGAGAAGGGATTGTGGAGAAGGGATTGCGGTGTGACCATCCGCCCTGGGGGGTGATTTCTTGCTTTCTGTCTCTATGTCTCTCTCTGTCTTTCTGGCGAGTGCACGTGCCCTGTAGCGAAAACCTCTCCAAAAAAGAAAAATAAATAATGTGAGCTGAATCCAGCAGATGGTATAGCAGTATGTTGCTGGACTACCACATAGCTGACCCAGGTTTGAGTCCCAGACCCGGTGGCTTGAAAATCAAACCGGGCATGTGTGCATGCCTAAGATCATCCCAGGAGGACGGATTGGAGCATGGCCATCCCCCGTGGGGAGTAATTTTTTACTTTACCTCTCACTATCTCTGTCCCTCCAGCAAGCACACATCCCCTAAGGCAAAAACCTCTTTAAGAAAATAGTACAGCCTAATGAATATATTGAAAATTAAGGAGAAAGGAAGATATTTATAATTCTCACCTATGCCTTATTTTCTTGAAGCTTGACTCACTTTTCTTTTTAGAATTATTTGATTTTATTCATTTTTTAAGAATTTTTAAAATTTTTATTCACTCATTCATTTTAATTTGACCAGACACACACACACAAACATACACACAGATGGAAGATGACGCAGGATTTAAGATGAGAAAGCAAGCCACCAGGTCTGGGACTTGAATTGTGGTTGGCCATGTGGGAGTGTCCTGCACCTGCTGGTCCACCATTCATTTATTTTTGACAAGAGAGAAAAAGTGAGAAAGCAAGCCACCAGGTCTAGGACCTGAACCATGGTCGGCCGTGTGGGAGTGTACCGCACCTTAGCCACCATGCCACCTGGTCCCAACGGTTGATTCACTCTTACCTTCTGTTCTAAGTATAGATACTGTGAAAAGGCTGAGGTCAGTTTGGAAGAATATAATGAGAATAAAAGGAACATTTTTTTCCTCTCATCTCTGTTTTAAATGTTACAGGGTTATGTGCTCACCAGAGATAGAGTATAAGAGCAAGTACCCCCCAAACAGGGCATGTTCATGCTGCAATCCTTTTTGCTCCAGTCCTCCCTCCCATCAGGATTCTAGACACACATACCATGCGTCTGCCATGTTTACCAAGTTGCTGGACTAAGATTTGAACTGAGGCCAGCCTTCCTGTCTTTTGAGTTACTTCTTTTCTGGACTTTGACCTTTTGGTGTCTCATTTTGATATCTTTAGCCCCTCATCATGAAGTACCACTATCAAGAATGATGTGTAGAAAAACTGGTTGGGTGGTGCACAGCAGGAATTTTGGAGACATACCACAGAGAACACACATGTAAAACCAGGTCTGGCAACACTAGGGCAAAGGCTTCCTCTAGTCCAAGAAAGGCTTATTGCATACCTCCTGAAAATGATACCAAACCAGCATGTGGAAAACACAGGAAGAGTACACCACTGTTTATAATTTACCATAATAAAACTAAAGAAAAACAGTGAAATTACCAGTAATTTTGCATAATTTGAAGTTCGAATAATGGCTGAGATTTTTCAGGATAAATACATTTAAAATTTTTAGCAAAAAGATCTCATGTGGAAATGGGTTTTTCAGTTCAGAAAAGCTGTTGGCCTATGGATTGAGTTTTTGTTTGTTTAAAGAATTATTTTTTAAGTTTATTTACTTATTTGACCAGAGAGGGACAGAGTGAGAGAATTCTTCTCCATTCAAATCTAGCAATTTGGGGCATGCGTGCACACCTGCCCGGCTTCAAGCTGCCTTGGGGACTCTGGGAGTACAGCGCCTTAACCACCAAGCCATCTGCTGGCTCCTACACTTTTTTTTTTTTTTTTAAAGTATGAATGCTTCCCACTTTCTCAACAAAAGGAATAAATCTTTCATGTGTTTTCTAGGAGAAAACTATAGGAAAAGCAAGCCTTCCTCATGGATTTTAAGTGGCAACTGCAAATGAAAATGCTTCGGAGCTTTCTTGTCCCGACGCAGTATTAAAGATCTTAAGTATAGGATTCGAAGCGTCTAAGCCAAGTCCACAATCCGTTTCCACAATCGCTCCTCCTGGTACGTTGGCTTTAAACTTCTACATCCAGAAATGCAAAGCTGGTTTTCAACCCTTCCCTACGGAAAGCGATTGGTCTCCTCTGTTAGATTTGTAGGTTCCTCAAACTGAAAAATCCTAAGCGCGCATAACATTCAGGAGGAGGACGCCCAAAGAGCAGAAATCACAGGGGTTCGCAACATAAATCATAGCTCAAAGCCAGACTGTCCAGAAGCGCGGACTATTTGCTTTACCGGAGCAGAAGCAGGCGGACCGTCTCCAACGAGTCTGGGATCAACGAGCGAGGCACTAGTAACTTAGTCAAGTTTCCCAGTACGCATGTGCTAACCCACCTGGCTTGGCTCCAGCAGCCGCATTCTGAAGGCTGTGACGCCAAGAGATGGCGTCAGAGAAGCTGTCCAATCGCACGTGGGTGCAGGCGTTGTAGCCCCGGCGGGGGCGGGGACTGCCTTGACTAGGTTCTGTTCGCGCTGAATGGGCCGCGGCGGCCGCGTGACGTGGCAGGGCCGGAGCCTGAGAGCCAGAGCTGGCGCTTCTACCCCGGTATCCTGGCCAGTTTCGCCCCACGGAGGCCTTTCCTGGAGCTCATCCTACACGCCGGCCAGCGAGCAGTCCCTGCTACCCTTCTTCATAAGTTCTTCCTCTTTCCTCTGGCTCAGTTTCCCCGAGCGGGAAAGGAGACTCGGGAACGCCCCAAACCCTTTCTACTTCTGCCCATCGCAGGTGCCACTCCCGTCATGGGCCTGACCATCTCCTCCCTCGTTCCCCGCCGCGTCGGCAAGAAGCAGATGCGCATTTTGATGGGTGAGTGGGGGGCCGTGAGGCAGGGCCCACCGGGGAAGTGAGAAGGGGGTTTGCTCTTGGGGTGGTCTTGGGGCTTGTTTTTTCCAGTGCTGACCTCGGTGGGAAAGAGGTAAGGGTTGGGAAGGGTCCTTAAGGGGGAACAATGGAGTGAAGGTTGAGCGATCACTCCATACCTGTCTCACCGAGGGGCCCGGACAGGTCGTCGGGCAAGCTTTCTTCCTTGTGAGCTTGACTTCCCTGGATGTCTGACAAGATTGGGCAGAGATGGGGGGGAAACGAACTCTTGGATTATAACTCTGGCATGTGTGGTTCTGAGGGAGCAATCTGCATCTCCTTTTCCCGGTATGTGGGCAGGGCTTGGGGTGGAGACCGAGCGATTTCTGGCCTTTCTCCTCCTCCTCGCTTCGTGGCCACTCACTGCGTACTCCTCCGTTGTTTTGGGAATGGACGGCCGCTAGTGCCTGGGGCTTCCCTGTGCAGGTAGTGACCATGGCCCGTGAGGTGGCGAAGGAGCCCCCCAGGTGTCTGGATCAGAGTCCAGAATCCTTAGCACTCACTCTGCTAGACTTTTGCTCTTACTGGATTCCGCTTTGTATTTTTTTTTTCTTTTTTTTTTTTGGAGAGGTTTTTGTTATAGGGCGCTTGCACTTTCCAGAAAGAGAGAGACCAAAGACAGAAAGCAAGAAATCACTCCCCAGGGGGGATGGCTACGCTGCAATCCCTTCTCTTCCATTCTCTTTTCGGAATCTTGGGCACACATGCACGCGCGCCTGGCGTGTGTTTAAGCCACAGGGTCCAGGACTGGAACCACGGTCGACTACATGGGAGTTCAGCAACGTAGCCATTATGCTAACTCTGCTGGTCCCTCGCTTTGTATTTTTTTTCCTCTTTTTAGTAAATTATTTCCTGAAAACTGAGTTTTCATTTTTCTGTTAACTTTTTAGTAGCTTTAAGAACTCTGATTATATTGGTTTGCCTTCTGTCTTTCAAATTAATTTTTATCTAGTTAATGTGTGTTCCATGTTATAGTAGTGTATTGCTTTTTCTTCTTAAACTTTAGATAAAGTTCAAACTTTCTTGAGTGAATGACTTTTTAGTTTCAGACTTTACCATATACAAGTATATTAAGAGAGGGTGGCAAGCTAACACGTCTGGTTTATCAACTACTCTGGAGAAGCCATATAGTCTTACACCTGCTGCTTTCCCAAAAGTGCAAGTAATTTAAAAACGTGTTGATCTTGCTGCAATTTCTTCATATATCTTGTTGGGATTTGGGGCATAAACACACTTGTGCCAGTCTGCCGGTGTGGTGTTTTTCAAGCTGTTGGGCTAGGATTCAAACCATGGTATGGACCATGTGGGATCCCACTTTCCTTAACCACCAGGCTAAGGGGCTGACCCAACAATGCCCATTTTCTTTTTTCTTTTTTTTCACTATAGGGCGCGTGCGTTCGCCAGACAGACAGAGAGAGACATAGAGACAGAAAGCGAGAAATCACCCCCCAGGGGGGATGGTCACGCCGCAATCCCTTCTCCTCCGTTCTCCTCTCGGGATCTTGGGTATGCATGCACACGCGCCCGGCGTGAGTTTTAAGCCACCGGGTCCGGGACGCGAACCGCGGTCGACTACATGGGAGTCCAGCGACATAGCCATTACTCTAACTGCTGGTTCCCAATGCCCATTTTCTTTAAAAAAAAATAAAATGAGTATATAAAATGCATTCAAGGCCTTTCAGAAGTAATTTCCAAAATGATACATCAGGAAGTATAACCAGGCCAATTTTTTTTTAAAGAGATTTTTGGTATAGGGTTTGTCTGCTTTCAAGAGAGTCTGAGACAGAGAGAGGCCATAATCCCTATACTGTAGATCCTCTCTGGATCTTGGACACACACACACCTCAGAAGTTTCAAGCAGAAGGATCCAGGATTTGAACCTCGGTTGGCCATGTGGGAGTCCAACACCTTAACCACTGTGCCACCTGCCTGCCCAATAGTTTTGGATTTATGAGGAGACTTTAAAAAGTTTATTTTGGGGGCCAGCAGATGGCATAGCTATTACATCACTAGACTCCCACATGGTTCACCATGGTTAGAGTCTCAGACCCAGTGGTTTGAAAATCATGCCAGTGTCAGATGTGTGCATGCCCAAAATCCCAGGTGGAAAAGGGATTGCTTTGTAGCCATCCCCTCTGGAGGGTGATTTCTCACTTTCCCTCTCTCCCTCCATTGAGCACAGGTGCTCTAAGGCAAAAAAAACCTCTAGAAAATAAATAAATAAAAAGTTTATCTTGAGAGGGGCTGGCAGGTGGCGTGGTGGATGAGAGTACTAGACTCCCACATGGCTTACCACAGTTCCAGTCCAGACCTGGTGGCTTGCTTTCTCACTTTCCCTCCCTTCTCTCTCACGCACGCTCTTGCTCTCTCGCTCTGTCCCTCTCTGGTAAAATCAAAAATAAATAAAGTTAAATAATTATTTTTTAAATTATTGGCCCCAATAAAATAATTTTTTAAAAAGTTTATTTTGAGCAAACTTTTGAAATTTATACATAGTTTTTAATAATATTACATATTTTCTATAAGCTTTTTGAAGATCTCTGGTACATTGTTTTTAAATGATTGCACAAAGTGTCATTGGATTTCCAATGAAACTAGTAGGTACGTAGTTTTCAAAACTTCACTCAGGTTGGGACCAACAGTTAGCATAATGGCTATATTGCTGAACTCCCATGTAGTCGACCGCGGTTTGAGTCCTGGACCCAGTGGCTTAAACTCACGCTGGGCACGTGTGCATGCGTGTCCAAGATCCCGAGAGGAGAATGGAGGAGAAGGGATTGCAGCGTGGACATCCCCCCTGGGGGGGTGATTTCTTGCTTTCTGTCTCTTTGTCTCTCTCTCTCTTTCTGGCCAGCAATGCCCTAGAACAAAAACCTTTAAAAAAAAAAAAAAAACTTCGCTCAGGTTGTATTTCGTTTTGTTTTCTATTCAGCATGTCAGTTTCAGTTCTAATTTGACTTTATTTGGATTTGAACTTGGTGAAAGGTGAATTTTTATTTATGTAAAAATTTGATCAAAATCACCCAAAGAGATCTTATGCTCTCCAGAGACTTAGCTTTGTAGAACAGTTAATATCTGATTGTTTTCTGATGACTCTCCCCTCTTCATTTTATGTATTTTATTGAAGGAGCCAAACTTAAGGTAGTAGTTTTCATGTCTATAGAACTTTTTTTTCCTGATGTTTGGACCCGTTTCATACTCAAAAATTAAAACACTTGTGTGGAACCAATGACATCAGAAACGCGTGGGGCGCTTGTGGGTGCACACATTCAAAATCCCTAAGGGAGGGAAAAATGGAAAAGGGATTTTGGCATGACCCTTTATCACGAGGGGGTTGCTTTCTCTTTTTTCTCTCTCTGTCTGTTTTTGTCTCTCTCTGGCAGTGCCGTGCCCTCTGGCAAATAATAAATAAATAAACAGAAAGTGTCCTTGTGTAAATCACTACACATTTGAATTGATTTTTAAAAATGTGTGATAAGGCAAATCCAGATGGCCAAATGTGCTGTCCTTAGAACAATGATATTTTCAGTGAGGTTATTAGATACTGATATTTCATTTATGAGAGCATTAGCAGACAATGTAGACTATACTTTGAGACATTCATCCTTATAAGCATTTCATCTGCTTTTCATTAGCACTCTAATAAAAAAGTACACCCTGATTTTCCAGTTTGGTTTTCTTTTTTTTCTTTTTTCTTTTTTTTTTTTTACTACAGGGCTTGTGCCCTCACCAGAAATACAGAGAGACAGAAAGCCAGAAATCACCCCCCAGGGGGAATGGCTACGCCGCAGTCTTCTCCTTTCTCCTCTCAGGATCTTGGGCAGGCACGCACACATGCCCAGAGTGAATTTAAGCCACCAGGTCCAGGACTCGAACTGCCGTCAGCTACATGGGAGTCCAGTGATATAGCCATTATACTAACTGCTGTTCCCGAATTTGGTTTTCTTCAGAGACAAGCACATTCCTCCCTCCTTGTACTTCTGTCTCAAGTAAATCATTTTAAGAGTTTAGACTACTTATATTGGAGATTAGTAGTATAGAGCCATTTTTTATAACATCAGTTAACCAGACATTGTGTTTTGAAAATTGGTGGTATTTCATAAAATTAAGTAGAACTTGCAATGGAAGATATCTTAAATTGTCCAATACCTTTGCTTAATGGCAAGTTTCTTTAAAAGGTTGCCCTAAAGCAATCTGTTTAAAGGTACTTAACTAGTTTATGGCAAAAATTAGCGCCTTCATTACCCAGATAATCTTTTTTTTTTTTTTTTTTTTTTACTTTTTTTTTTTTTGGAGAGATTTTTCACTGTAGGGCGCGTGCGCTCGCCAGACAGACAGAGAGAGACATAGAGACAGAAAGTGAGAAATCACCCCCCAGGGGGGATGGTCACGCCGCAGTCCCCTCTCCTCCATTCTCCTCTCGGGATCTTGGGCACGCACGCACACGCGCCCGGCGTGAGTTTTAAGCCACCGGGTCCGGGACACGAACCGCGGTCGACTACGTGGGAGTCCAGTGACATAGCCATTACGCTAACTGCTGGTTCCCTACCCAGATAATCTTTACTTAACTACTATGTGCTATTTCTCTAGTTCTAGAAAGAAAAATAAAAAGGCCTTTTTTTTTTTTAAGAATTATTTGTTTAATTTTTATTTATTCTTTCTTTTTTTTTGGAGAGGTTTTTGCTATAGGGCACGTGCGCTTGCCAGACAGAGAGAGACAGAGAGACAGAAAGCGAGAAATCACCCCCCAGAGGGGATGGCCACACCCAATCCCTTCTCCTCCTTTCTCCTCTTGGGATCTTGGGCACGCATGCACACGCGCCTGGCGTGAATTTAAGCCGCCGGGTCTGGGACTCGAACTGCGGTCGACTATGTGGGAGTCCAGCGACATAGCCATTACGCTAACTGCTGGTCCCAATTTTTATTTATTCTTATTTGTTAATTTCACCAGAGAGAGAAAGGGAAAATGAGGAAGCAGGCCACCTGGTCTGGGACTCACCACAGTCAGCCATATGGGAGTCGAGCACCTTAACCCCTATGCCACCTGCAGTCCTAAAAGGCTTTATCTGTAGGATGGTTGCATTTGGGAATCAGAACTGAGATAATTTCAATTCTAATGTATATTTTTGCCTTGAATAGTCAACTTTTACTTTCTTTTTAAATTAGAATTATTTATTTTAATTTTATTATCATTATTGTTTTTTAAAAAATATGTAATAGGATATGTATGCTCACCAGAGAGAGAGAAAGAAAGCCGCCAGGTCTGGGACACGAACTGTAGTTGACCACGTGGGAGTCCAGTGCCCCAACTACCCCACCATCTGTTGGCCCAGCTTTTACTTTCTTTCTTTCTTTCTTTTGAGTTTTTTGCTACAGTGCACGTGCGCTCCCCAGAAAGACAGAAAGCGAGAACTCTCTCCCCAGGGGTGTTGACCATGCCACAACACCTTCTTCTCCATTCTCCTCTTGGGATCTTGGGCACACATACACATGTGCCCAGCGTGAGTTTAAGCCACCTGGTCCGGGACTCAGACTGTGGTCAGCTACATGGGAGTCCAGTGACATAGCATTATGCTAACTGCTGGTCCCCCAGCTTTTAGTTTCAGCTATAAACTTATTGTAACATTATTTCTTAGCATGTGCTTTTGGTCTAGATTTTAAATTTATACTGTCTCCTAGTTGGATTGGATGCTGCTGGCAAGACGACCATTCTGTATAAACTGAAGTTAGGAGAGATCATTAACACCATTCCTACCATTGGTAAGAAAATTTAGAGATGACATTAATTTATATCATAGTGATATCTTGTTTTAAATTTTGCTATGGGGTATGTATGCTTGCTGGAAAAATAGAAAGAAGGAAAGTGAGAAAGCACCGCCCAGGGGTGATGGCCAAGTTGCAATCCCTTTTCTCCATTATCTCCTTGGGATTTTGGGCATTCATGCACACACATGGGTCTGGGACTCAAACCATGCAGTCAGCCACATGGAATCCAGCTGCCTTAACCACCATGTTGGCTAGTCCCATAGTGACATCTTTTTTTAAATGATTATTATTTCTTAATTTGTTATAGGGCACATGTGCTCACCAGCGAAAGACAGAGGGAGTAAGAGGGAAAGTGAGAAAGCAAGACACCACTATCAGCCATGTAGAAATCCAGTGCCTTAACTACCATGCTATGTGCTGGCCCCATAGTGTCATCGCTTTTTTTTTTTTAAGAATTATTTATTTATCATTATTATTATTATTATTATTATTATTTTAACTTGCTATCGTCATCAGAGACAGAGAGGGAAAGTAAGAAAATAGATCACCAGGTCTAGGACTAGAACAACTGTTGGCCATGTGGGAGTCCAGCACTAACCACCATGCCACCTGCTGGCCTTCATAGTGTTCATCTTTTAAAGTGAAATGTAGTCTAAGTTTGAAACTGTCTTTTTGTTAACTTTGTTATCTTAGTTGTTAGTTGGTTATCTTAGTAGGATTTTTGAAGTCTAAAAAGATTCTTCAATAAAGGAGTTTAATTTTTTTTTATGACACATTATTGTACATAGTGGTCATTTTTTTCTTCGTAGGTTTTAATGTGGAAACTGTAGAATATAAGAACATTTGCTTCACAGTATGGGATGTTGGTGGTCAAGATAGAATAAGGCGACTCTGGAGGCATTACTTCCAAAATACCCAGGTACGAAATGTTTTGTTGTTCTATAACTTTTCTGTAGTTTGCATGCTCTGAAGATTATATTAATTATTGTCAAGTGTTTACTTGGATGTTGCTGTTTAGTTTGTGAGTTGGTATTCTTATGATTACCTCCCTATTCTTTAGTTGATTCTCATTAATATATTTGACCCTCTTACCTAGGGGTCAAGAGAGTTACATAGCCATGACAGGACAATTTTGGAAGACTGTGTGGAATGAGTGGGGCTGAGGTTCAAGAATGAGTTAGGTGTCTAATGTAATAGTTCTTCTGGTTACATTCTTAGTATACAAAGTAAGGTCACTTTGTAACTTCCTGTCATTGCATTTTCTAATGAATGTTAGACAATTGATAGCTTTTTATTTAGCCCAGTTACCTGTTTACTGAAAATACATTAAACTGTGTTGACTTGTAAAGTATTATTATATTGTCATGTAGTGTATGTAAAATTAGCATGGGAGAAATAGTGATCCTATAAAGGGGGAGTTCTCGCATTAATTATTTGCACATTAGAATTGCTTGGGGAGCTTTAAAAATTTTGAAACCCCAATCACAGCCCCAGACCACTTGAATCAGAATCTCTGAAGATGCAAGCTGGGAATCAGTAGTTTTTCTCCAACTTTAATGCACATATGAATCACGCAGGTATTTGTTAAAAATCTGTGGTGAATCAGTAGGGAATGACTAAAGCCTGATCCTTTGTATTTCTGCCAAGTTCTCTAGTGCTGAAGCTCCTGGTTTAGGATCTTATCACAGCAGCGCTATTGACATTTCAGGCTGCATAATTCTTTGCTGTAGGGCACAAGGCTTGCCCTACATTGTAGGATGTGTGTAGCATCATCCTTGCCCTTTGTCCACTAGATACTGCAGCAAGTCTCTCCCAACCCAGCTGTGGCAATCATAAATGTCTCCACAATTGCAAAATGTCCCTTGGGGTAAAATTGCTCCCCGATAAGAACTTTTGTTGTAGTCTTAACTCCATTAGTATGAGGAAACCAAAACAATTGATTTATCCAAGACTAGGGAGTTATTCTTGTTCTACCTTTCTTTCTGTTTAATTTGCTTCCCTGTCTGTTTTCTTTTCTACCACACAAGGGTTTTTTTTTTTTTTTAACAGTTTTTGTTTACTACTGAAGTGATAAACTTTTTTAAAAAGTAAAATGTGATACCACATCACTTTATATATTTAAGATTTGCAATGTCACTCTTGTTCTCCAGCTCTTAAAAAGATTGCATACAAGTGAGGTATATTGCCACCAGTGGCAGTGAATACCCTAGGTAAGTGGCTGGAACAACCAGGTTTAAGTAGTGTGTCATGTTAACTAAGTGGCATGCTTTTTTAATTTAAAAGTAAGAATGTTTATTATGTTCACTAACATAGCTTGATTAAAAAAGATATTTTGATACATAGATACGTGTTTGAAAAAAAAATTTATTATGGGGGCCAGTAGGTGGCAAGGTGGTTGGGCTGGACTCCCACATTCTGACCACTGTTCAAGTCTTGGACCTGGTGGCTTGATTTTTTACTTTCTCTCTCTCTCTCTCTCTGTCTCTATCTCTCATGCCTATAGAAAGTTTTAAAAAATAATAAAACTAAAAGAAAATTAAAAATAAAACTGTATAGTGGGCCCAGTTGTAGTGGTGTACAGGTAGGTCATAGTACAGTTTGGGAGGCTGCAGGCTGCATGGAAGTCTTACTGGTTCAATTCCGAGGCCACACTGAACATGCTGGGCACAATTGTGCATGCCTGTAATCCTAGCGAATTGGTAGGTTGTGACCAGAGAATCATGAGAGAGATCTCTCTCTCTGTTTTGCTTCCTTTCTCCTGTCTCTTTTCTCTCTCGTAAAGGGAGGAAAAAAATATTTAATTATGGAAAGTTTCAAATGTACACAAAATATAACATAATATAACATAATAAAAAAGTCTCATATCTGTTATGCAGCGTTAGTTAATAGGATAGGATATGGTCAATACTTTTTAATTAATGCACACCCCTAATGTGCTCTATTCCATGGATTATTATTTTTAAAAATAATTATTTAATTTTATTTATTATTATTATTATTATTTTCAATTTGACTAGGGGGAGAGAGAGAGAGAAAGTGAGAAAGTGAGCCGCCAGGTCCAGGACTCAAACCATGGTTGGCCGTGTGAGAGTCCAGCATCTCAGCCACCACACAACCTGCTGCTCCCCAACCCCTTACCCCATGGATTATTTTAAAATGAATTAGAGGCATTTCATTTAGGAAAAGTGTTTAATTTAAAGTTAGATATAAAGTAAAACCTTACTAATCTTTAAGTCTCATGATTCTTATTTTTGTTGTTGTTGCTGTTTTTAAATTTCCAGAGTATACATGAACTCACCAAAGAGTGAGAGAAAAGGAGAGAGAAAGCGCCTATCAATGGGGCACAGTCACACCATAATTCCTTTTTCTTCATTTCTCCACCCTATTAGGATTTGGGGCAGGCAGACTCATGTGTCAGGTGTATTTCTCAAGCCACTTGGGTCATGATTTAAACTATCATTAGCCATATGGAATCTGACTTCCAATACACAGAGCTTAACCCACTGCCCTTCAAGATGGAGTAGGCCAGCCCTAGCCTTACGATTATTGACTAAGGAGAACTTAACTGTCTTTTCCCTTGTTTAAATTGCTTTGTAATTTACTTCTGAGTTATTTTTAATTTTAGCATTTATTTATTCCATGGGAGAGACAGAGAGAGAAAGAGATTATTACCCTTCACAGGGTTGACAGTTGGTTATCTACTCTCTCTCTCAGCCTTCTAGAATCACATGCATCTGAATGTGCCTGGTGTGCTCAAAGATGTCCTGAAATGCAAACCTAGGACCCTCCCCTGTGGGTCCAGTTCTATTATCACTGTACCTTCACATGGCCTCTAGTTTTATTTTTTTAACTTGAAATTAGACCCATCCTGGCCTCCATAAACCTAGTTAGAATTAAAAAATTCAAGTAGTGATTTTTTTTTTTTTTTTGGAGAGGTTTTTGCTATAGGGCACGTGCGCTAACCAGAAAGACAGAGAGATAGAAAGTGAGAAATCACCCTCTGGGGAGATGGCCACGCCACAATCCCTTCTCCTCCATTCTCTTCTCGGGATCTTGGGCACACATGCACATGCGCCCGGCTTGAGTTTAAGCCACCAGGTCCGGGACTTGAACCACGGTCAGCTACATGGGAGTTCAGCGACACTGCCATTACGCTAACTGCTGTTCCCCAAGCACTGATTTTTTAGGGAGCTGAAGCCCACTATGGAAAGCTATATGTGTTAACCTCATATAATTACAACCATACTGTTAGCTTATATTTCTGGCATTTCTGATTACATCTTCTAACCATAAAATTTAAAAGAAACCAACCATGTTTCTGATTTATGTTATTCTAGAATATAGTGATTATGGTAGTAAATTTTTCTTTTATTAGATAATTCTAGTTATTTTGCTTTTCTAAATAATATATACTTGGCTTTTAAATTAATCTTATAGCAAGCTGCCTACCTTACCTTTCTAATTCTAGCTTTTTTGGGCCAGCCACTGGGCTGGTGGTTAAAGGAGCCAGATCCCACATGGCCGACTACCCCATTTGAATCTTGGCCCCTGTGGCTTAAAATTCCCACTCAACTCATGTGCATGCAGGCCCCACATCCTAACAGGATGGGGAAATGTAGGGATTGTGGCATCACCATGCATTATTGGGGAGTGCTTTCTCCCTCTTTCTCTCCACCTCTCTGGCAATTGCATGTGCCCTCTGGCAATATTTTTTAAAAATTAAAATTAAGGGACCATGGCCAACCGTGATTTGAGTCACAGACCTGGTGGCTTGCTTTCTCACTCACTCACTCTCTCTCACTCTGGTGAGTGCACATGCCCTATAGCAAATTAATAATAATAATAATAAAATGTAAAAAAAATTTTTTTAATTTAAGCTTTTCTATACTTTTGGGGTTTTTTTGCTATAGGGCATGTGTCTCTCCCCAAAGAGAAACAGAGAAAGAGAGAACTTGAGAAATCAACCCCCAGGGGAGATGTCCACACCATAGTCCCTTCTCCTCCATTCACCTCTTGAGATTTTGGGCATGGATGCACACATATCCAGCATATTCTTGAAGCTGCAGTGTCCCGTACTCAAACCATGCAGTCAGCCATGTAGGATCCATGCCTCAATCACTGTGCCATCTATTGTTCACTCTTTCACACTCTTGATTCTGGGCTGTTCCAGAAAGAGTTTAACTTAAAATTTATTCCTAAAGTAATTCTCTTTCTCAGTGTTACTTTAGGAATGAAAGTAGTACTTACATTTAAAACAAGCAAACTGAAAAAGGAAAACTAGTAGTCAAGGTTAAAATTAGACCTCTTGGGACCTGCAGATGGCATAATGGTTACATTGCTGGACTCTGACATGGCTGACTGCGGTTCGAGTCCCAGACCCAGAGGCTTAAAACTCATGCGGGTATGTATGCGTGTGTGCACAAAATCCCAAGAGAAGAATGGAGGAGAAGGGATTGCTGTGTGGCCACCTCCAGCCCTATGGTGGGGTGAAGTCTCCCTTTTTCTATCTTTGTCTCTTTAGCAAGCACACATGTCCTATAGCAAAAAAAAAAAAAAAAAAATAGATCTCTTTTAGAGATAATATAATACTTCTTCTAGAGGATAGGTCCTACAAAGGAATAGCTTTCCTTTTTTTTTTGAGAGAGGTTTTTGCTATAGGGCACGTGTGCATGCCAGAAAGACAGAGAGAGACCGAGAGACAGAAGCACGAAATCATCCCCCAGGGCAGATGGCCAAGCAGCAATCCCTTCTTCTCCATTCTCCTCTCGGGATCTTGGGCACGCATGCACATGTGTCTGGTGTGAGTTTGAGTCACTGGGTCCAAGACTCGAACCACGGTCAACTACATGGGAGTCCAGCGACATAGCCATGATACCAGCTGCTATTCCCGGAATAGCTTTTGAGATAGGAAAAGGAGGAGACATACTGGGTTGTTGAAAAAGTAATGACATAATTTTTTTTTAATTTTTTGCACCAAATAACTCATTCTTTAATTCCATTTTTAAATTCAATTTTATTTTTTCATTCATTCATTTTTTTTTTTTTTGGGGCGGTTTTTCGTACCACGGGC